AATAATTGTATTTCTCTGTCTGTTACAGCACTTTAGGTCCCCTCACTACTGACGGAGCCCAAATATTGCATCAGATTGAATAATTCTATTTCTCTGTCTGTTACAGCACTTTAGGTCCCCTCACTACTGACAGAGCCCAAATATTGCATCAGATTGAATAATTCTATTTCTCTGTCTGTTACAGCACTTTAGGTCCCCTCACTACTGACGGAGTCCAAATATTGCATCAGATTGAATAATTGTATTTCCCTGTCTGTTACAGCACTTTAGGTCCCTTCACTACTGACGGAGCCCAAATATTGTATCAGATCGAATAATTGTATTTCTCTGTCTGTTACAGCACTTTAGGTCCCCTCACTACTGACGGAGCCCAAATATTGCATCAGATCGAATAATTGTATTTCCCTGTCTGTTACAGCACTTTAGGTCCCTTCACTACTGACGGAGCCCAAATATTGCATCAGATCGAATAATTGTATTTCTCTGTCTGTCACGACACTTTAGGTAACATGTTGGATGAAATCACTCAATTCCTTAGTAAAATACACAGGGGGACTCTAACAAGTGGGGATACTTGCAAGCTTACAATATTTTTGTTTATACTTTTTTGTATGACTTGTATATATGTTATTAGGGGTTTTGTGAACAACAGATAAATTTCAACTCCACCACTAATTTTAATCAATTCATAAAGCTTTAAAAAATTAAGCATTTACTGGTATATCTGTAAACAGAAAAAACACACTTACAAAACTGAGGGATTTTCTTTTTCAGTGTTCACATCAAGACTTCTTGTAGCACAAAGTTCTTCATTTTTCTGGGAATCTGAAATTTATTTTCTAAGTAAATACTAAAAATGTGCAAATCAGAGCTTATCATACTGTTAGTTCACCTCCTCTGCAAAGGTTAGCATGCAAAACTGGTAGGAAAAAACACCTAACTGTTGTTACAATAATACTACTAATAACATTAATCAGTTCAAACAACTAGTACTCACTTATATTACCAAAAAATTAATTAAAAATTGGCATTAATTTATTTATGTCTTTTCTTAATATCAAGTCAACAAAATCAATGAAAGCTACTGAACACAGACTTACCAGCTTCATTAGGTGTATTAGTGCTATGATTACTAGACTTGGGGGTATTGGAAGGAGTGTCACTGCACCAGTGGAGACACCTGTAATAGTTTGCAGGAACGACACTTTACACAACTGGACCTTAACAGACTGCAAGGTGTTTTTCAATAAAAAGTTGATCATAATGAAACATACGTCACTAAGCAGCTTGTTTACAAACATTCGTAACACTACAGCAATTTCAACCCGTGCACTAAGCCAATAACGTAAAATCACGAGCATTGTTTACTTGTGTCACATTCGTAACACTTGTGCCGCTACAGCAATTTCAACCCGTGCACTAAGCCAATAACGTAAAATCACGAGCATTGTTTACTTGTGTCAGAACGTGTTTGTTGAACGGTTCTTGGAATTGAATCGCCTGTTTCTCACGCCTCTCGTTTCAGTGACCATCATATTAACAATATGATCACAAACAGTTTGAAAATATCAAGTGGAATGGCCTCTGGCGACAAACTTGCAACTACCTGAGCTGTGCAGTAAAAAAAAAATATCAGTTGGGCTAACATATGTAGTCTGAAGAGTCTGCCATCCATCAACTGATGCTGCTATTCCAGTGTCTGGATTGGTAGTGTCAGCTATGAATGAACCACCTTGAATGTTTATGTGGTCTGTATAATCCAGGGCTCTTTTCATCATCAGACTCAGAATTATTGGGCTCATAATTACTATCCCTATCTATATCATTTTTCTCAAATGACTCTAAATCAGATTTTTGTAAAATACTCACAGTTTCACTCAGACTGAAACATCCGTGCAACCCTGCCATCTTGTAGCTATAACAGTAACTAAAACAAATCACTGCAAAAAAGCTAATGCCACATGACTTGAAACTTTAGAGAGTATCTTTTCCTGTCATTCACAAGAGGGCAGCACACACATAATCATTGAACAGTGCTAATGGATTTTTTAACTATATGCTCACACATAGTTATAACACATTTACTGATTGATGTGTTAATACACTGCTAGCAGTGAATGTGTTAACATACAAAATAGCTGAATGAATGAAGCCACATCAAAAAACATAGCAGGCTAAACTTAATTTTTGTTTCAAAGAATTTGGAAGCAAAATCATGTATTGACTAGTGTAAAACTGAATAAACGTCCAAACTTATTTTTCGTGAGAGATTAATCAACACTGTTAAACCTCAGACACATTTAATTCCAAGAACTGAAAGTAAAATACTCTTAATTTATTTTTTAAAACAATACTAATTGAAACAAGAGAGCTATTTTTCCATTAATCCAGAGACAGTTAATAATAGATGTTGCCGGTGGTCTAAAACCAAGCTCTTGTATGCTATAAGTCATAAGTTGCAAGATAAACCAATCCAAAAAATATTACTAATTAAAATTGTTATTTCGGTATAAAATATTTCCTCGAGTTTCTTTATAATCATGCAAGTTACAAGTTCTTCCTTAGGAAAATACATAAGATATCAACACTTTTGACTGTAACTTAGTAATCTCACACCAGGTGTCATTATTGTGTGGATCTTCCTAATATAACAGAGTTCACACTAAAATTTAATTTTATACTGCTGAGATTGGAATTTTTCCTAGATATGTAACTTAGCAACCAGAAACAAGCACTTGTTTTACATAGAACTATCACTCTTCAGTTTTCCTCCCCTGAACTTCATATGACTAGAATATATATTCAGCTATATATATTAAAGATTATCAACAAAAAAAGGTTTAGATTTTATGACTTAGAAAATCTGGTACCAAAGAAAGATCTTAAATTAACGTAACACAAGTTTTTGAGATTAGTAATATATCCACTCACCCTTCGGCACCAGAAGAATTAAAATTCTTGCTTACAGGTTCTGGTTTTAAAGAATGGTTTATCCTCGAAAAGAACTAGAAAATAAAATCAGTGTTACTTCATCATACTTACAGCTTGTATAATCAACCGAAATGTATGATGTTAGATAATCTCATTAGTTGGAAAGAAAGAATATATGTATTCGTTTTCCATCCATAGCTAAAAAAATTAAAAACTGAACATACTCTATCAAGACAGAGAAATATTGAAACTTGTAAGGAATAACCTTACAGTATACAAAAATACATTAACTCTAAAATTAACCTTTTAAGAAAACTTGTGTTTATTTTGTGAAAACTTCACACAATTTTGCCCTATTTAACGTTTAAAAACGTAAAAATAATTTGTTAAAAGTTCAAATGAGTTATTATAATAACAATTCATATGCATAAAATATTTGATATCATTTTCATACCTTTTTCACAGAATTATGCTGTTCTTTCCCAGTCGATTTCTTGTGCGTTGCTTGAGGTGAGTCACTTTCTAAGTAGTATTAAATGAATTAGAAGGTTCTTATCCGGTACTACTAATGGTTTGTTCTGTTTAATTATTTGTTAATCATATATACATATAAAGACAAAATGTGTGTTTGTTTGCATCCCAACTCCTCCGAGTCTATTGGGCCAATCTCAACCATCTTTTGTATGTAAATAATATGAACTGTGGGGAATGTCCTAAGGGGGGTCAAAATTGAACTTAACCCTATTTCTATTTTGTAAAACCTGTTGGTTAATTACTCCCACCCTATTGAGTCAATCTCAAACAATTTTGGCAGGTTGACGCTTTAGACAATGTTGAATATTTTAAAGGGATTCAAGGTCAAAGTATGAAAGTTCCTGGATTGCTTCTCAAACAACCATGTTTTTCTCACGGTCAATGAGATGTAGGGTGTTCAAGGGTGGGATCACCTCAAATTCTTTATTTGTCAGTAGATGGAAAGCAAACTGTAAATATTGTTTATGAAGAAGCTTTGTTATAATTTTGAGATCAAGTTTGTGTTCGAGTTATTACTTTGAAATATATGATTGCTGTTAAACTTACAATTTTTTAATTAACTTTAAACATTCCCTGTCATTTGACAGGTTTTTCACACATATAAATCAGAAAAATGTTCAAATTCTACAATTAACTATCACAATGGAAGCTTTAAAATACATCAAAACATTAAACATTCCCTGTCAGTTGACAGGTTTTTCACACATATAAATCAGAAAAATGTTCAAATTCTACAATTAACTATGAGAAATTATGAGAAATACAACCAGATCATGTTTATCAACATACTGCCTTTGACACTCAAAAACTAAAACCACATCAGTCACAAGATAAAATATTGTCCATTTCGCACCCCATAAAACCCCTGAACACTATATCTGCTTTAACTCTTGCCGATTCACTCCGTTTTCTCAGAACACCAGATATAAAGATTTAACAAGTGTTCTTCCGCTTATAATACCTATCAATAGTTCCAGAAACTTATAACGTGTGGGTATTAAGACCACCATTTCCACAGTCTAAAAAACACTTGAAATTAGTCTTTGGACACAGCATTACTCTTGTCATGGCACATATAACAAAATAATTAAATTTTGTCATGTTATTATTCAAACATGAAACTTTAGAACTACACAGACCAAAAACTTACCACGTTTCTCTTTGAAAAAGCCTACAAATACAACAAAATTGTTTGCTTGAGGAATGGTGTATTCAAGTCCAAAATGTTTCTTTAAGAAAGCTAAAAACCGGTGAGAAGGTCGATCAATGGCGAGTTCTTCCGGAGAAACTGCTTCAACCTGTAACCAATAAAACACTTAGTAGTTTGTGACAGGAATATTTCAGTTCTATTTTTAACACACGTGCAGGTAACTTGAACATAAGACACAAATATGGCTTCGAGAAAAGTGTAAAATAAAAATAAAAGTAGTGTTGAATCAGATCATACAAAAAGTAATTAACGGTAGGTCACAGAAATAGCACAAGTACGTAAGTAACGGTTTGAAGAAGCAGTAAATACTTTCTAGATAATTATCTATTATTACCTGTAATCATGGTGAAGACTTTTATCACCACCAGTATGACATTAAATCGAACACTTACTAGACCAAAGTAAAATTCTTAAAGAAAATGTCTAACATCTAAAGCAGAATTTTTAGTGAAATTTTTATAATCATTCTTTTCAAAATATAAGTAGTAATTTACTGAAAGTAACAGAAAAAAACTTTATAAAGATATTTTCTTTAACAATTACAAAAACAGAATTTGGTGGAAACTAATTAAGTAACAATTAGGACAAAAACTGCATATCAATTTTTTAAATAATTTCTAAAATAATCAAATAAAGCCTAAAAATGTTAATTTTCTGAACTGTAAAATAGCCTTACCTGTTTTTTTCTAAATTCTTTTTTTTTCATCACAAAGTTTTCGAGTCGTTCATATGTTATAAAAGTAGTGGTACACAAAGAAGAAATTTGACAAGTAACAAGATAAGCTTTAGTTAATAAAAAATAAGCATGACATTTGAACTTTGTATCTATTCAGTTGGGTTCTGTGTTGTTAGTTTAGATGTAGGGGAAAATCAGAAACAAGCCGTATGTTATCAAGAAAAGGATTTTACTCACTTTCAGCATTGTTTTAAAAACCTGAAGTCCATAGCCTTGCCTCTGACACGAGTCATGTATGTAGAAATCTAGGACACAGAGTGGCCACAGCTCCCGAATTTCTCCATACTCGTCAACAATGAAAAGTTTTTTTCTTCCAATCTTCAAAAAACCAATTACAGCACCACGACTACTAGAAAATCAGCCAAAAGATACAAAGAATTATTTCAATAAAAAACATTTTCATGTTTTTAAAGACTACAGGATGAAATGGATTATTAAGGCTAACTAAGAAATCATTCATACAAGCAGTAAAAAGCACAATTGCTTTAAAAATATGCATTATTCCTGTGTCTATAAAAAAAGAACTACTTAAGTAAACTTTTCATTAGCCCATATGTCATATAAATGTAAAGAATGACGTTTATATAGATATAATTATTTGTTTATTGAAAAAAGTTAAGCTTTGTTTTAAAAACAAACATCTTTCATACTCAGGCCACGTCGTCACGTTTGTAGACTCGCATTTATTGAACTAATATTTCATGTATTTATGTCAATAAGTTTGGTATCAAACTGTAGATTATAATTAAAATTTTAGTATTATACCTTACTCAATTTGAAAGAAAATATTAAAAAAAACACAAACATCAATTTTTGTGTGTCACGTGGTATGTTGAATGCAGCACTGGTTCAAATTAGATGTTTGTGATGTTAAAATACTAAGTCTATAGTTTTGTACAAATTAGGAACTAAAATTACCGATATTGACAAGCTATAATATATAATAAGAGACCCTCATCTTTTCAGTTTGCTGAGATATTGCTCATGTAATAAATCAAACACAGGAGCACACCACTGCCCACCTCTTTCCATTTTTGGAAATGCTCCCTTATATACACTTACTTCTACATATGATATGAATATCCAATCAGAAGCTCAGAATGTCCCCCTAGTGGCTTTCTCAGTCATTTTAATGGGCTTGGATGCCAATACTTTCTTTTGAACCAATATTTCAAGGAGCCTCTTCAAAATTTCATATTTTTTAAGACTGAAATAGAGCTTAGTTACTAAGCTTGATAAATTACAGTGGAATTTTGTGGCATTGATATAGTAATTTATGATTTTTTGGTTATTCAACTGTATATATAAAACCTAAAAAAATATATTTTGTTTCATATCCTCCACGTACAAAATT